CAGTACAAAGAAACGAAAGCTTAGTCATGGACGTCGGTCTTACAATAAACCTATTATACACGATGTTTCCTTTGATTCACTTTTATCTTATGTTAATAAACAATTAGGCCTTCAGCACATTTGCACCAAACTTTACTCTGTCCCTTTGAAAGTTTCAATAGTCTATTTGGAAAAGTCAAGAAAAGTCCATATTTGGATTCCCCGACACCTGAAATGCTCGGATCTGTGGTTATGGATATTGCAAATCATAAAACTCTATGTTATACGGAAGGAAATACAGCTAAAACTACCCTTTTCCTTAAACTTGACGCGGTTAATATAAGTAATATTCTTAATCACAAAGGATCCAGTCTTTTATTCCACCATACCCCAACTAAAGGCTACACGCTGTATTTCCTAAGATATACATCGACTATTGCTTCAAACTTTTCCATTACAAGAGAATTTTACAGAGCGTGGAAATTTAGCATTTGAAACATAATCCTCCATCGTGTTCATGTTCTTCTTCACCCTTTAACTATAGTCCTGCTGGACACTTTTTTATTGGTAACGTAAGTATAGTTAATATTGAGGACCTTAAGTCACTTATTTTAAAAGGGCCAAAATTTAGGGAACCCCGATCTTTCAACTGGAATCATAATTTCATAAATATTATGAATTCTGTGGAAGTTTACGCCCGGCAATGGGCCAGAAATGAAAATTTCTGAGAATGTTCACTTGACAAAGTATCATAAATAAAATCGACATACAAGATTATATGTAGCTGAACAACAAAACGCAATAGCGCTTGCCTGCGAATTTTATTATACAACTATTCATTTCCTTTAAAGGATTATTTTGGATGCTTACGTTTTTTTTTTATGTTAACAATGGTCATTAATACTCTAGAAATTTATGTATCAATACATCTGAATGGTATATCTACAAAAAACAAAATAAAAAAAATCCTAATTGCTTTACAAATATAACCCTACTCGATCAGATCGATTGATATTTTATATGATAGGCGGTATAACTCTTATTCCCGCAGACTTACCATTATTATATATGATTCAAAGAATGATATATCGAGATAACGAATAGTAATCAAGCTCAAAAGACCATTGAAACAATACATATCGGGAGCAGAGCAAACACCGACCTCTAAAAACTTCAGATGGGGGATCAGGTGCCATTGAGGAGTAAGCACCCCTGTCGACCGGTCTTACCCGCCGTGTGCTCTTTATCATGATCGGGAAATCGGAAAAATCCAAAAATTCAGTGTGTAAATAATAACCTAACGATTAGTATGAAAAAAGTCAGTCAGCATTTGACTTTATGAGAGATTGTATCGACCATAAAACTTGCAAAATAATGACTTGAAACGAGACTGTTTATATCCTCGTTTTATGAACGTGTTTGTCAATTCATTGCCTCGTTTCTGAAATTCTTCGAAAGTAAATCATGCACATCATTTGACTTAATGAGAGATTGTATTTGCCAACAACGTCGTTGTATCGACCAAAGAACTTGCGAAATGATGACTGTAAATGAAACTGTTGATATTCTTGTTTCATCAACTTGCTTGTCAATAGCTTAACTCCTTTCTGAAATTGTTCATAGGTAGAGAGGGCCTTTCGTATCGAATGAACTGGGAGTCATAAACCCATATGCAGGTGTTAAGGGTATATTGCTGCATAAGTAAGGGAAGTTAGCGATAGAAATATTAAAGTCATCATGTTTATCATTAAGTTTTATTGTTAGGTAAAAGTTCTTTTAAATTTAAAAAAAAGTGACAAAATGGACAATATTATATGTTTTGCAGATAATGTTTTGTTGTGATCAATTACCTATATTGCTGTCCTTAGATCAATGAAATTGCAATACGTAGATCTAGTGTATTTTTATATGTTGCCAAAAAATTGTTGGAGTTTTACAAAGTTTCAGTTCCTAGAGAAGAGAAGCTCTCTGAGGACTGCATTGTCTTGTTATTTTTGTATTTTTCCAGTACGCGGTAATGAAATTGATCACGAAAGCACAGACAAGTCTGTCATACTCGTAGAGTCATTCTACACACTGGTACACTGAAGTTGCTATCTTAACAGATTTTTGAATTCTTCGTTCACAATGTCTATACAGTTTTGAGAGACCAGGTCTTCCAATAATCTTTTTGAATTTCCAAGGATCTTAACGTGCACTTGGATAATGTTTTAGTTATAAACATTCAACTTATACTCATAGTATAATCCCTTAACTTCATAAAACTCCGTACAAACAGAGATACATAGCGGGTTCCATTTATTGTTCCAGTAATTGATCTACCACGCCTCTTTCTTTACTCCTCAAGAAAACATTAAGATCAGTGAGGGAGTAATTGCAGAAGTAATGTTCATGAAACATATTTTAGTTGTTAGATATATCTGAAATAGTTAAGATTAAAAGATATTACCACGCAACACTACTCCCTCCTGGTAAAAAGATCTTTGAGCTTATTTGATAATTCTAGAACTCTATGTATCCCTGTTTGTAACGAATGCTATGATACTATCAAAGATAATAAGAACATAATTCAGTTAAAAGATCTATGATAAACCAAATGTGATTATACATTTTCACTTGACAAAGAATCATAAATAAAAGCGACATACAGGTTTATATGTAGCTGAACAGCAAAACGCAATAGAGCTTGAGTGCGAATTTTAATACACAAATTTTAATTTCATTTAAGGTCAGACGATACGTTCCTCAAATATCTGTTATGTATATCTTCGTAAAGTATGAAAAATATCCAAAATTTTCATGTTTTTATTATTTCTTAACCAGTTTCTAATCGTCTTTAAAAAATTCAAACACTATAAAATATGATATTGGCAAATTAAATTTTTTCCAAAAGGATTTTACAAGAAAAACTACATGTATCCTCTGGTATCATGCACAAATCTCTGGTAAGGAACCTGTTAAAGTACCAATACCTCAATGACAAAATCTTGGAAAAAATTATATATTATTGAGGAACGTATCATCTGCCCTTAAAAGAGTATTTTAGATGATTACATTTTTTTCTGATGTTAACAATGTTCATAAATACTCTAGAAATTTTTGTATCAATACATCTGAATGGTATATCTACAAAAACAAAAATAAAAACAACCCTAATTGCTTTACAAATATAACCCTTCTCGATCCGATCGATTGATATTTTATATGATAGGCGGGATAACTCTTATCCCGCAGACTTACCATTATTTACAATTTCTACGAATGAATCAAGTTTTTTAAAATGTTTTTACAGATGCACAGAGGTAGAGAAGAATATATTCCTACTTTCATGCCAAAAAATTGTTACCATTCTTATCTTAAATCACATCCTCCCCTTAAATTCCATATCATAAACTATAATAGAATAAAGACACACGACCCACTCAGTGTCACTGAAAAATCGGACAGAACAAAAAGAGCGCATTTACGTTTAATCGCCTTCGGTGCGTGCAGCTCATTAAAAAAAATCCTTCAACTAATTTTTATTATCAGAGAAAATTGACTGAGTTTTTATTTTTTTACGGATTTTTTCTGATATTTAGGAGAACTCTTACTCTTCCGTAAGTATGAGTAGCCTGCATTATATAAATACATGTATAACGTATATATAACGTATATATCGTATAAAGCACTGGACTTTTCTTGATATAGATTTTAAATCAAAATCAATTGCATAATTTTAAGAATTATTGTAAAATGTCAACAGATGGGATGGGGACTCAGGCTATAAACATCAGACTCATGGGTAAGTATGACTGCATCATTGTGTACTGATGAGGTTCAATGATAACCGAACAAAACTGCACCCAAATGACATTTTAATTTCGTATTCCATAATAATAATTTCAAAATACATAGGTCTCATTGATGACATTCTATATTAATTTTAATACACTGTACAATCAATCAATTTATTTTGATTGCTTGAACTTAATATTTTTTTTGTAAAAATCGCAGTCAATCAAGTTCGAAGGTATTGCGTACGATTTAAGGTGCTATACTTTGAAATGAACTTTTCGATTAAAATAATTATTTTCTTCAAACAACAAATCAATCTTAATTAAAATATACGTGACGCAAATAAAACGCATCAAATTGTATAAAATATAATCCTGGGTAAATTTCCCCTAAAACATAGACTTTATCTCGATTCTACGTAACGAAATGTGATCCCCCAACGCCTTTTTAAAAACGAAGTTCAGAAGAGATACTTCGCTTTGTGTGAATGCTGGAAAGAGAAAATAATCTTAACATGATGATTTATTCATTTGTAAGGAAAATTACAAGATTTAATGAAGGATTTAGTGCAGGAACCTGACAAACACATTGATGACACAAGAATAAAATTATCATTTACATAAACATATGGCAAATTCTATAGACAATGCAATGACCTTGTTTGTAAATACAATACACAATCTATCGTTAGGTCGAATGCCGTCTTACGTCTTTCACTCTCTGAATAACTATTGACTTTGGCTCCTTTATGTGGCTGTATCTATAAACGAGAACCAAATGTTTCTACTTTTTGAGTTTATATATATAAAGCATGTGCATTATCATTATGGTACATTCCATATAGAAAAATTACAACCTTTCACTTCAGGAAAGTATTATTTAGACTTACTTTTATCCAAAAAACATAAGTGTTTACATGTACACATATACCCTTTTCTTTAATAAAAAGTACCGGTAACTCAAAATAGATAAAAAGAACACATATGGAATAGTTTTATCAACGTGGAGTGTAGAGAACAAATTCCCATGGCATCCAGTCTGTAGGGTGTCACTATTAATCATCGTCTGTTGAAAATAAATAATAGGATTATTGAAGTAAGAAATAGACTTCGTCTATCCTCATAAGTTATCTAAATCCCCGAACACCCGAATGTTTCAAACAAATTATTGATGTACAAACAGGTCATGTTATTATTGAAAGGTAAGTCATGTGTATCTGTGTATTAGGAATAAACGGTGTTTACCTAGTGATGTTTGATCATCATTATCGTCCCTCTAATGTCTGCTCCAGTCTGGATTGTAGGGTACCACGGATTGACCCAGTTTTGGGGAGACCAGGGACCGTTAAGGAAGGCGTGATGACAGATATTAAACCACCAGCCTCCTTTTAAGTCAACAGCACAGTTCACTCCATCATATCTATCGTTGTCTCTGTCGGAGGTGGTGAAGGACATCCCAGGGAGAGAAACGTAAGAATTCCCAATCTTTAACATACCGTCACCTAAATTACGTAGACAAGGTACTTAAATCAGATCTTGGTGTTTTTATTGTCAACGAGGCCTTTATTGGCCTTGTGAATTTCTGAAAAATCAAAACTGTCCAGTTTAAGTTGACAATAAATTTCACATTCCTTGGACCCTCTGTGACTGCATGTCTATAGAAAATGACCTTATTTTCTCACTAGTCAAGGTATTAAGACTTCATAAATTGCAACATTTCTCTTATAGTCTTAAAGTTTCTGCAAAAATGGCCAGCAGTTTTAAGCTGTTTTTCAAAACTTCTGATCCAGAATGTACAATTACCGGATATTTAATATTATTATATAATTGAATAATTTCTATCTCTTTGATTGGCCGAGATCCAACAATGTAGAAAGAATAATACGTTTTATTCACCTTCACGTGACATTCAAGGTGAATATAAGGATTCAATTTTCTCTACATTGGTCTAAATATAGATCGGGAAATTCCAAATACTTTTGGAATGTTATTTCACTTGCTTCCGACTTCCACACTGGTAAGCATAACATTAGGGGTGGGGTGGTTGGGAGTGCAGGGGACTTTCCCCCAAACACTTTTTTAACGTAATTTTTTCACATTAGTTTGAATATTCAATGAGCAACTGGTCCCCCTACAAATGGACATTACCCCCTTACCCCTAACCCCACCACAACCCCAAAACTAAACTTGAAGTAAAGAGAATTTTCTTTTTGTGGGGGACTTATCAACTTTTTTTTCTATCAACTGTCATTTTTCCCTGATAATGCCCCCTTTTCAAAATCAATCCTATAAAAGAACCTGACATTATTTTTTTTCTTCAGCAGATAGAGAAGATTTAAAAAAATTCCAAATTGATACAATTGGTAATGGTTATTTAACTGTGCATATTTCATTGCCTTTGGCTAGGACTTTGAAAAATGTAAACAAGTAAGATTGCATGAACTCCTTAATGAGTTTGTATCATTAATCATTAAATCATATAATAAAACAATAATTGGTGTTTTCTTCAGTCAATACGATGATTTAGCCACCTTCGAAGTACAATATTAACGTCGCCCTTTGGGCTCGGTGAATATGGTACTCCTCAGGTGGCTAAATCATCGAATTGATCTAAAAACAACAATGATTATATCTTTTATTTATTTATTTTGGATCGAGGGATTCACTCATATTTCGTCGCCCGCGTGGTGCATGGTTAGAGCGTCTGCTCTACAGTCGCGGAGTAAGGAGTTGATCCTTACGTCACTGATTCGAATCTCACTGCGGGACGTGGAGACCGATCCTTCGGATGAGACCGTATAAACCGAGATCCCGTGTCGCAGTAGGTGCCTCAAAGATGCCTCACTGCTCAATGGCCCTAAGCGCCGAGTATTGGTCAAAATGTGTAGCCCTCCATCGGCATATGAGTGAAAAATTCTTGAGAGGGACGTTAAGCAACAAACACTCAATTAATCATATTTTATTTCTTTGCTGTATATACTCCCAGAAAAGCTTTTATTCTGCAAATTTCAAGAAAATTGCAATATCACAAAACCTGATTACCAATAGATTACCTCTTAAAATTCTAGGAAATGAAACCTTTAAGTCAACTTAATATTGATGTTTGAAAAGGGACATAGGTTGATAGTCAATTTATTGGAGTATGGATAGGACCATTCTTTGCATTAGGTGAACTTACCCCTTCGCGCACATTTAATTTTTTGTCGACTAATCGTTTTCAGATTTTCCAACCGATCAAAATCGTTTCCACCGAGTACCTGGTTAAGCTGTCAAAAACTGCCTTTACTTATTGCAAAAGTATCAACAAATTAAGCAAGTATTTAGTATATTGTCTCTCACCTGTTAGAATCTGTTAGAATCTCTTTCTCTCTCTCTCTCGATTGTAAGACACATTTTCTTGATGTTAATTACCTAATGTTCCCGTGGCAGGTCCCTCCAGAAAGAGTTTGTACATTCATACAACTCATACAGTTTGCTACCGTTCACTAGAGTGATGGAAACGTAGAGAGATGAGTTTCTTTCCTTTGTTAATTGATGAATTACATCATTTCCTGTATGAAGACATATTAAAATTCAAAGATGACGTATGTTGAATTATATTGTTTTGTTTCCCTTTAAATAATTCTGCCCTAAGAAAGAATTCGGTGGATTTCATTGAACACGCATTATCCAGTCTTTCGAAATCGTTTTCGAAATTAATAATCAGTATAAAATGATCCATTTTGATTTACCTATCCAGACATTCCCTTCCGGTTCACCAAAACCATTCTTATATTCTGTCCAGTTCCTGTCAAAACTCGGGGATCCATCCAAGCGTTTTTGGATGACCTTGAAAAGATATACATGTATTTATCTATTATATATTATCTGATAAACATTTGTATGAATTAGTGTGTAGTTAATATAGACTAAGAATATGGATGTATCCTGTCCTGTCTTTTACAAATACATAGATTACTAAAATTAAAACCTTCAAATATACGAGCTACGAGTCAACTTTCATGCTTTATAAAGAGACTAGATACCGTCCATCCTCCATCCATAGTCTCCATGTCGCAGTAAACTTTGATAGGACTTTTGCTGGTACCAAAGGGATAGATTTGATAGACACTTGAGTTGGTGTGACCATCGTAACTAAGGTCCCTACAATCAGCGGGGGGAACTGAAATAGAGGAGTAAAACCTTACATTATATATGTGTTCATATAGACATTAAAAAGAAAATATTGCATTTGCAAAATAAAAAGAGATTATTTTTTTTTATAATCATAATTTGTTTCGGATCTATCCTAGTATTTTTTGTCAACTTTTTAAACTTGGAAAATGTATTAATAATTCGAAAAAAAAATATTTTCACTGATCAGTTGATCAAGAGAACCTCCAATGAATTGCACATTCAACGAAAGTCGCGGTCTTGCTGACGTCATAAATGCATTTTTTTAAATTAGCAACATTCCTATTCCTTTTTATTATGAAATTAAAATAGAGAAATTGTTATAATATTTTACGGCTTTTTAGTATAAATATTTCAATATAAATAATCTCTAACTTCTGTTGAGATTGCTAGGGTTGAATTATAACATTTAAACAATTAACTGCATATCAGCGGTAATCAAAGTCTTTTTAGAATTTAAATGGTCGAAACTGTTTGCTGTAGAAATGGTTACTTATTTGTCAACACATTTTGAATCCAACGATATGCGACAACTGGATTTTGCATTAAATATTCTTTAGTGAACAGTTTGCTACATTTATATAAACCTTATTTTCATCTTCAATTGTAATGTCTAAAATCTGTTGTGTTTTAAATTAAGTTAGCTCTCTTTATGAAATAAAGTACATTTACATTCCAAGTGAAAAACAATCCAGGTACATTAAGCACAAAGAAAACAATATTACTGCTACCAGTTATGGCTCACAATGCTGTAAGCGACGAACTGGTAAAAATTACATGCTATATCTTGTTGACAGTATCAAAAACTTCAGCTTATAAGATTTGCAAGTTTGCTTTCGATCGAGAACGCAATCCTTTAGATTGAAAAGTCGCTATACAAACCTAGGTCTGTACAGTTAAGACATGTAGATAAGGCCAATCAATTTTTCTTTTTTAGATTTTCATCCTCATTTAACGTATCTCATCACATCTCATTGTTTTTATTATGGTTTAGTTATTCCACGACTGTATGTGAAAAGCCGCACAGCGATGTTATAACACATGTGCTTATAACAAGTATATAACATGTGTATGATAGGAGAAAAATTATTGAGAAATGCAGTGTACATGTAGGGAATAAAGATGCTTGTATTAAGAAGACATTAAAGGCAAAATTATAATTTTACTAGAATTTGATACACCTATTATCATCAATAGAATTTTAAAAAAGTAAAAGTTCTGCAAAGAAATAAAAGTAGTGCAAGATCTCTGTGTGATCAGCACTTTTTTTGCTATATCGCCTGATCAAAAACGATCGCCGACATACAGAAGAAAGATGTATTTATTAATAAGACAATTACCAATATTTTAGATATCCTGTTTTGCACAGATTTTGTTGATGTGTTATGATAGCAAAAATAGGTCGTTTGAGAAAAGCCAGTGGTGCTTTTATTATCTGTGATTCTTTGAGAAAAAAACACGAGTAGTTTTTGTTGTTATTTCTTTAAGATTCTCTTTAAGATTTATTCAGAATTCTGTTTTTGTAAATCACGCTTAAGAAAAATACAAGTCTGTTAATTAACGATCACTATTAGTTCTCAATATATTTCCAATAGATTGTTGAAAGACCTAATCTCATAAAGTGTGTTTTTATCACAATTCTAACTTTCTTAAAATGAAATACCATTGTATTCTTGATATATATATATACTTAATAGCTGTGCGATATTTTAATAAAATTATATAAAACACTTCATTAAATTTATTTGAAAACATTCGTTTCTTACAGCCGCAGGAGCAACCGATCTATTTGTAGTTGTGTTAGAATGTGGACATTGAGAATTGAGTTGTTACTTTTTTCATTGAGATTTTATATTTACAATTTTCATAAAAATTATGAATAAAATGTTTAAATATAGTAATAATAATTTTTTGAAGTTAAGTTTAAATTAGTCTTTCATTTCTCATAAGATATTTATTAGTTTACGATTTTATAGAAAGTTGTTACATGAACTGCTCCCTAACATGGGAGTGTGTTAGCTATATACAAAGAACGTAGTTTTCCGGATATTGATTAGAGTTATAAAATGATTAATAAATATTGTAAAAAATATAACAAATGCACTAGAGCTGCAATTGACATAATGATATTTTTTCTGCACTATGCATTTATTGTGATACATAAAACATCGGCATTATCAAGTGACGAAGATCCAGGGAATCAGCACGAAAAAAATTTGCGTCTTTTTATTGTCATAAATCATTGAGATATTCATCTTGTAATAAATAATTTGATGATGATATAATCCTTTCTTTAATCGAAGTTTTCAATACCCATGAATATATTTTTTTGGATCAAAAGTTAACATTTAACCGAAAATTAAAGTATTTAAGTAAAATAAGTACTGAAAGGTCATAGAAGTCGATAGTCAATTAGACCTCGAAGAGATAGTCAAAAGAATAAATATATTGAATAGATTTTGACGTTAAATAAATTGATAGACATCATGGTTGGTTGAAACTTTGATATCGACGTTATTTCCTTGGTAATGATCTTGTATGAATATGAAGGAGAGAAAGATAATTAAGAAAATTTGCCGACAAGTAGAGTTGAAAGCAAAGACGAAGACATTGACAACTCGGGGCATTGACTGAATAGAACGATCTTACAGTTCGACTTTGAAAGGGAAAAATATTTTCTTACTTAAATAATTACATAATAAATACATAAATAATTAAGTCGAACTGTTTAAGTTATGAGAATATTTTTCCCTTTCAATCTTACAAATGAAGATGTGGTTACCAGCTTTGTCAACTGAAACCAGTACATACTGATTACTAAATCTATCAAATTCTTTAATCACTTCTGAACTGCTGAAGACAGAATGATAGAAAGTTATCATACTGCAACATACGAGGGTTGTTCGAAAAGTTCGTGGACGATGTCAATCTTTGTTATACTACTTCCAAGAAATATAAAATAAGCACAATATCATGTGTAAAAATATTTGTTTTGTTGATCTGTGAAATTTCATTTCATTCGATTTGATAGCAATTAATTTATTTCATTTTAAAATCAACATGTTTTGTAACCACGGAGCACACTTAAAAGCAATGTAACGTCAAAAACATAGCGTCAAGAATTTCTTAAAAATACTATCCCTATACATTCACACAGTTTAGTCCAATACCCACGTATTAAAAACTTTTTCAATCACTTGACATTTATTTTTCTAACAATTGTTCTCGTTTTATAATTTCCTTGGTTAATGTTTAATTTCTTTTACCGCTTAACTGTGCTTTCACAAGATCAACAACTCTGAAGCGCCTACGTCTTTCCATGACGTCCCAACTTTTAAAAGTTTTCGTTCAGATTTTTACAGTTAAACCGTTTCTTCACAGATTGTCCTGGTCCGATGCAGAGTCTCTGTCACTCAAATACCGCCTCTACCATTTACGCACACATGCACTACTCGCTTGTGGCATTTTTTCTGTTTCCTCCAACATTTTAGCGTTTATTCAGGATTTTCCACGAGTATAACACAAAACTGCATCGTTATCTGCTGCTCCGTGACGTTCTACAACGTCATCGTTTTTGTCGTTTTCAATGAGGACTACCTATCTTCTCAAATTGATTTCTTTTTACCGAAGCAAGATATTAAGCCATAATTTGGAATACGAATCGATGTAACAGTTCTTGATTTAACCGTCTAGGATTTTTTCGTTTTTGCTCCATTTTACAGAGAAGATGACTACAGACATTATTTAGTGTATTGTTTGTAAATAACTAAATTTTGACCTGCGCCGCGATCCGATTTTTGCAGTTTTAAATTCTGGATAAGTTTTAAATAAATCACGATATTTTTGAAAAATTTCATACAAATCATTTAAATTTATTGTTAAAATATTTCTACCAAATTTAGATGACATATGACGTTAAATAAAAAAGATATGACAGAAATCCACGAACTTTTCGAACAACCCTCGTATATATTATACTTTTAAATCTTAACCCAATGTTACAAAGTATATTAAGGTCTTCTCTTTCATTTATTACCCATTGTCTGGCATAATCTTCGACAAATTTCATAATATTTCTACAATTATGTCGCCAACTGGGATTCAGTGTTCCCTCACCTTTGGACCTCTATCAACAGTGAATAAATAGATTAACCTAACTTTTTGAAAAAAGAAAATAAAAGTATCAGTAATACATCAAATCCCCATTGTATCCAAAGAATCGACAGTCCCCTTGACACATCGCGGCACATTCTATCAACGACTGAGAGTTGTATTCTCGCAAAATTTCATCGTTTAATTTTTTATTATCAAATTCTAGTTTTGCAATATATTTCAGCGAAAGAAGTGTAGCTTTAGACACCGTATAGAAGGTACCAATTAAATAGAAGATCCAATGCCTATTCATATTGATTTTGGCTTTGACACTTACTGCTGTGTTCTTGTGAGAATTTGCAAATTTGTCTTTATGCGGCCGACTATAAATATATCGGAAATCCAGCCTATTCCGGAAAAATGATTGGCTAGCTGTTACGTATTCTGAACTTTACTATTGTTTAAACATCGATTTCGACTCATTCCTTTGAATTCACGTTTTCTTTTTTTTTTTTTTTGCATTATTTTCAATGTAAGCACCGCAATGAAAACAAAAATTCTCGTAACTTGAAACAAATATCATGAATTTCTAAGATTTTAAAGATTAATAATTGCTTTTCATTTCACGCTTTTTATTCTTTGTGTAATTAAAATGATATCAGTTATTGAAAATAACATTTATCATATTGCTGAATTGTCCTCATGCAAAATACTATAAGGGGAAGATAACTTTAATATTTATCTATTTCTTATGACGTGGCGGAATTTTGTCTTCTTCTTTCTCTTTCAATACGCAAATACAGCTTTTAATTCTGTTGAACTAGTTTTTGAAAATAAGTGGGAATTAAACAGTCGACTTGAGCCTACTTACTTATATCTTAATACGTTCGAGTCGCCCGCGTGGCGCAGTGATTAGAGCGTTTGCTGTACAATCGTGGAGTAAGGAGTTAATCCTCATGACGCGGTTTCGAATCCCACTGTGGGACGTGGAGACCGGTCCTTCGGATGAGACCGTAAAAACAGAGGTCCTGTGTCGCAGTAGGTGCTGGCACGAAAAAGATCCCTCACTGCTCAATGGCCCTAAGTGCCGATTATAGGTTAAAATTTGCAGTTCTCCACCGGCTAGTGGTGGCGTCTCCATATAAGTGAAACATTCTCTAGAGGGACGGTAAACAACAACAAACAAACAATAGTACGTTCCTTCGTTTGTTTGTCTCCTACGAAGGACCGGTGTCCACCTCCCACAGTTGGATTCGGAAAAGCGACGTAAGGATGAACTCCTTACTCCACGACTTAAGTGCAAACTCTTTCACCACTGAGCCACGCGTGCGACTTATAGTACGTAAGCCCAAATTATAAGTTAAAATGATTTTCGGAGTTTGTCGCAATTTTTAAAAAAGAAAAACTCATATCTGTAAAGACACGCTGGTCGGAACTCATATCTGTAAAGACACGCTGGTCGGAGTTTGTATCAGTTTATTTTATTAACTTCACATCTATCAGTAAGTGGCATCATAAGGGAACTCGGAGAGTTTTCTCATAGAGGCAAAGATATGTATGTTCTACATTGCCTTAATTTATTTCTCTAGCGCTTTAATCTGACTAGACCAAAGACGGTTTCAGATTGCTGAAAAATAAGACAGGGGATGTTTACTCCTCCATGACACCTGATCCCACCTCTATGTTTTTGAGACCCATATTTGACCCGCTTCCTATTTGTATTGTTCCAATTGACTTTTGACTTTGTTCCTTATCTTCATATTTCAGATGTAAATACTTAAAGACTCCAAGGATCTTTAACGAAAATAAGAATTCACAAAATGCCATCATTATCAAATTAGAATCAAAATAAGACTTTTCAAATGTTATACCGTCACTCTCCGTGATAAAATGAAGACTATACTCCTTGGCATAATAAACAATTGTTTCCCCAATAAATAAGGAACACGTTAATTTACTTACCTTGTCATTATTCATCTGCAAACTTATTTTGTTTGCTATTTAAGAGTCATTCTCTGTAAGCATCAAAATGGGCTGGAAATAGACTCTCACCGATTTTGTTTAAACTTGGTGACATAATCACATTATAAGCCCATTTAAAAAAAATAGTATTGCAAATGATCAATTGGCATTGTTTCCATGGTAACGGGTCACCTATTTTTGCACATATGTGGGAAATAACAATAAAGGTCATTTCACCCCATTAATATTTATTTGATGAATTTAAATGACTACTAATAATTTTTATCTTTAAAATTATTTGTGAATTGTATTTTCTAAACAAGAAAACTGCAAAAAAAAGTGTTGGACCTGCCAAGAAATGCAAAGTAATGTCAAAAAATGCTATTAAAAAGGTGGGGAAAACATAACAGTGTACCTAAAAAACGCAGGCACTGGTGGAATACTTTGATGCTCCTAATTTTACCCTAAACAATTATTATGAACATATCAAAAAATTGGAGTGGTAATATTTGATTAAAGAAAATAAATCAATTGTAAAGTTTGTAAAAATCTCTGAAATTACATACTTTTTCACCAAGAGTTGTTTCCCTTTTCGGAAATCTTCAGCCAAATTTCAAGAAAATGAAAGTGAAAGTAGAGAGCAGAACATGATTCAGAGGAGTTAATTCTCACTGTTTTGGATATTTTCAGTCATTTTAAACCTACTCTGTTTAGTATTTCGTATTACTGGAATTTAAATGTTTGGTCAAGCCTTGCTGTGCCTGAGATATGAGAAATATATGTGTTTGGTCGTGAAAAGCCTGAAATGGATTTCACCTTATTGAAATTCCAAGTGTGATACGTACCGATGCTCTGCATGAACAATAGAAGCATTGGAAACAAAATATTTATAAGAAAGCAACAGCAGTTACATGGATTCCAGAGCTATAATTATGTTGCGTTTGGTGATAAGGCCGTGAAAGATACCTGGCAGTAATAAGATCACTAGGCAAGTATCAAAGTACAAAAACCTTTAAAAATTATTTACCTTTGTCAATATTTACTCTTAACTCGATCATGCATGTTTGTGAATTATAAGTAAATTAATTAATAACAGTGTATGAATATCTATAAAAAAACATCAAAGTATCCAAAAAACATCAATGACATTTGAATATTCAATTATTAAAAAAATTAATTAATAATCGTCAAGTTTTCAAACTGCATATAATAATAAATATCTGTTGTTGAAAATTATGTTATCCATACAGCATATATGATAAAATCTACGTTGGTTTTAAAGTTACACCAAATTTCAATGTGTGTTTGCATAAAGGGGGGGGGGGGTAACAATATATAGTTACTGTCTTGCATTCATTCAATCAATAACTTTTTTTTTTACATGTTGATCCAGGTAGAATGTAAACACATGTAAAATCATCACATTGCTAAACAAAACACAACATTGCAGGTTTTGTAGGTTTCAGTGTGTCCAGGGCTTAATTTTGTTTGTTTGTTTGGATTATTTTTGGAGGAGTGGGGGGTAGTGTCATGTGCTATTTCATTTAAGAACTAATTATATAAAATTAGAAACACTTTGAAATTTGTTTTATAATCTCTAAGTACATTACATAATTGCAACTACATAAGAAAGTTTAAGATATAGAAAGAAATTTTCATTATTAAAACAGTACTACTTCACACTTAATAGAATTCTGTAATTAATGAGATATCCTTATAAAATTTGATATAAGGAATCAAAATATAAATTTTTGTATCTCAGCAATGCAAAGGCTGAAATATTCATTTTAACTTCAAATGTTTAAAATATGGAGAAGAAAGGGGGATGATTGAAGCTATATTTTTATGCAATCAAATTGATGCATGCAGTTGGCAATGTTTGCTGCGACTGTTGCCCCCGACTTTGTTTTGGGAGAACAGAAGAGATTATATGAGGGGGTGGGGTTGGGGGACTTAATCATATCTCATGCAATATTTGCATTTAATGGCTCTTGTTTTTTTTTTTCTTTTTTTTAAAGTGTTTATGTATGTAAATGCTAATTGATCTATATTTTTTTTTAGGAAACAGTGCACAAAATTGCTGGAATACTAATTGGAACAGAGAAATGTATGCTTTAATATGGTGATTTTCAAAGAAATAATCAAAACCGAGAAAAAATTTGCAATGACATTATGTGATTGCACAAGAGAAATCATCTAAAATGCAGAATCCGGAAAGATGAAAAGAGAGATTTTTTTAAATTGAAAATTCACAAAATAAATTTTTC